TTTTCCGCAAATTTTGAAAATGAAAATAAAGTTATTTTTGACTTTATTAGAGGTCGTGCAGTTTTGAGAAACATTTGGCGGGGTGATAAATATTAGTGTTAATGTGGCATTTAGTGAATATCTTTGCAACATTTTGTCATCGATGAAACATAGATTTAATATTATCACCAATTTCTTACGTAGACTAAGTAGTGTGTTCGTTAGTGATGAAATTAAGGAGCGTGAGATGAGCTGGGCACGTAGCAAGCGTTGGAAATATACATTTAAAAAAAATATGGTTGAAAAGACCCCCAGCGTAGATAGGATAATATTAAAATTGGTATTAAGGTGAGAGTCAGATGGATGTTTTTAAATCGTAAATGACCCAGATGTTAAGCACTTTTCATGTTTTTGTTTGGATTTGCACTGTCTTAGTGTTTCTTTCAGTTCACCGAGTTTTAATACAGTGAACACAAATATGTCTACGTCGTTCCGCTGGACATGTGTCATTGTGTATTACATACGGCCCCGAGGGAAATTTCTGGCGCCAGTTTTATCCGGTGTAGCTACTCACCTGTTTCTCTGCGGACCCCGTATTCTAGAGAGAGAGATGGAAGTTGTTCAAACACTTGTGCATAAACCGTTGTTTCGCAGTCCGCTGGCCTTTGTGAGCTCCATACACCTACTTTCTTTGTTTTTGTTGCCTGTAAAGCACATTTTAGCGCCACTAATTCACCTTGTGCATTACCGATCTTAGATTTTTTTTATACCCGTAATACAGGCTTGTTATCGCTGAATTATTATACAGGGTGTTTTATTTAAAACGTAACTCAGAATCTCGCGTACTACGGTACGAAAATTAAATCAGAAGTACATCTAGTCTTGTACATAGACTTCCCCAACTCTCCCCCTCTCATTTGTCAAGGTCACTTTAGTTGCTAGGCCGCTTATCACACGCATTTCTCAGTAGCTGATGGCGAATTCACTAGCAGAAGGTGTGTTTGTTCTCGGGCGTCACTTCGCATCGAAATCGTTGGCTTCTGTACGTGAAACATTTACAAATGCTTGTCCTGACTTACCGAATAAAACAATACACTGACTCGTAACAAAATTTTGGGGGGGGGGGGGGGGGGGGAGTGTTTTCTCATCCAGCTACAGGGCAGCTAAAATATGACCGATCCCATTTAAAAATGCATCAGCTGTTCTGACGGGATTTGGCTGCAAGTATTGAATCGTGCGCTGGTTTTTTTTTTTTGTTTTGTGCGAGAAATCGTTGCGTTTTATTTAATTGGAAAATTCTGCGTCGCTCGTCTGTTATTGGCAGAGCTAATTTAAATGTTTTTCTTCTCGTTTCAGATATTCACCAGGTTTGGGAAGGTGCTTAAGATTGTGACTTTCACCAAAAATAGTAAGTTTGTGATATTTATACTTGTTACTTTCTCTTATATGTTTTAATATTATGTTGTGTTTGTAACTTTACTATATGTAAATTAGTGATTCATCAACGTTTTTACAGACCTTTATTGACTTGTGAGTCACAAGGTTGTGAATCAGAACAGTTTATTGACGTCATGACAGTTCGGTAAAAAATTCTACCAACTTTCTTTTACAAACAGGTTCACATATAGTATTATTCAGTGATTGTCATTAACAAAATCAGGCATTAATGAGATATTTAACGGTGATTTTGATTGATTAATCTTTAAAAATGGGGTTTAATATCTGTTCGCGCAATTTCAATCTATTATAAGAATTTTGCGAAATCGGATAATTTATCAAATTTAGGAGTATTATTTATGTGAAAATACGTACTGTTCAGTGATTTTAGGTCTAATTAAGAGTAATTAGGTAATTAACTTACGCTCACGTTTGCTGCCCAGATATAACACAGTTTCTTTTCCAAGTGTCTCACGTAATATTAACTGCAGTTTACTCTGACGTACATTAACTTATGTTATATGTTTTATTTCGAGTTACTACTTATAAATTTTTCTTTTATCGAATTTATAAAATGTTTGTTGGGAAAGATACACTGGAAAAAAAAATAGTAGTTTTGCTCAGTTTTATAGTAACACCAGAAATGTCGCCATTTATAATTAAATTTTAACGCCCACATTTCTTTCCAGACACATTTCAAGCTCTGATCCAGTATCCGGATGTTGTAACAGCCCAGGCTGCCAAATTGGTGAGTGAGTTCAAAGTGACGTGCATTAGCGTATGTTGAAAGGCTGTCATCTGCTTATGTGTGTGTATATATATAGTTAGAGGAAAATTGATTTTATTGGTACGTATTATTAACCTCTTTTTTATATCGTGTTCTTTTGGCCACACTTTATGGAGCTAGAGAGAGAGAGAGAGAAGAGAGAAAGTGGGGGGTAGTAGCGATAGGCACTACTGTAATAAATGGGGGAGGGGTATAAAGTTGGTTGTGGGCTACGAAGGTTCCCAGGCAGTGCCCGCTCGTCCTTCTGGTATGAATAAGTTTAGTGAGGACAAGGGATTTAGGAGACAGGATGGGGGAAGAAATAGGGTAGGGGGGAGTTGATTCGGGTCTTTGCGTTAATTTTGAATTTTGATATTGGCCTTGGGGGTGGCGTTAGGAATAATTTACGTTAATTTTGGGGGGGGGGGGCTACTATAGAGCGGAATTTTGATATTACTCTGAGAGGGCTGCATGGGAGGCATGCAGAGCAACGTGGAATTTGGGTACCAACTCAGCATTTGCTCTAGTACCGAGGAAAACCACGGAAAACCTTGGTCGAGTTGGCCTAAAACTTTGAAGCTTGCGTATATAATATTTAAGATTTCGGTCCGTACCGAAAAGAAAACACAACGCGTAACCATTACAAACATCGTCTGTTTACGGAATTAATCCTTGTTTTACAGCGAGAATCATATAAAACTGATAAAGACAAAATGAAGAGTTATTGATTGTCAAAGAAGGTGTGATCGTAGTTATCGTTGGGCCTTTAAGTGTTAATTAAACTGAGACATCCATCTTGTAGCCTTCATACCCCTATTGAGTCTGACGACTCGTAACGAAACACAAACATTTTCGTACAAGGGAACACACGCTGACATCGTATTTGTTTAAGATGACTGCATAAAGAAGGCTGTGAAATTTTTATAAACCGACACAGTTCGCGTTGAAGGGTTTAAGGTATCTCAGCCAGGTAACCATGGAAACCAGACGCTTCCCCATAAAGATGGATCATATTGTTAGTTCATAATGCAACCTTTGAGGGCAGGCCAGACGCTCCGTGTTTTTGCTTAGTGAATTTGCGCTTGTAATTATGGTCGCTTATTCACCTTACAGACTCACTATTGATTTTACAATTGAGGTTGATGTGCTTTTAATTCAATTATATCCCCTTTTTTCATCACCCCATCCTGTGACTGCCGCCAGTAGAATAAAATGTGTGCCCCCCCCCCCACACCCAGAAATTTATTTTTTGTCCAACGCCTGTCTTCGCGTAAAGTGCACGAGATCATTAATTTCCAGTGTTTTGGTCACATGTTTCGTGCTATATCGCAAAGTAGTGACCATAACTCGATATAAAGATTCATCTCTGACTTATCATGTTTGTATTTAATATACAAATGTCTCTGCGGTCTGGCCGTAAGCTTGCTCAGGGCTTCTGGAATGCAGTATTTTTTCTCGTGGGACCACCCTTTTCCCACTTGCTAGTTCAGTGGATGGTTTCCAAAAACCTTCTCATTTCAAAATCTCTTTTGGTGTGAAAAGATTGCGTATTCTTTACTGTCTGTTCTGTTATTGGACGTGGATCATACCAATAATTATTACAATCCGCGAAATTATATAAAAAAAACTAATTATTTCCAGAATTATTAATTCCCCGAGCTTTTGATTGAATCTCATCAAATGAATTGTTTTGGATTAATACGTAAACGATACCTGTAACGGATTATTTAATAGGCGGAAATTTGTCTTTATCGGAACAATGGCCCCCCCCCGGATCATTTACTTTGCTGCCCGGAATTATTTCAGAGTAAAAATTCGTCTCGAATGAAAAATAGTTTGGAAAGTAGGATTTGAGGTTTTTACAATAACATTTGTCTGCTATTCACGCAGTATAGGCGCCGTGAACACGTGACAATGGAGCGAACACCACCGCGCATAATGTTTTTTGCCCGGTTAATACCTGCTTTGCCATAAACCAGGCCGTAACGAGCCGAACGAAAATAACATCTGAGTGTAGACTCTCCCAAGTGTTTTAGTACACGGAAATCTGCCTTAACCTTAAAAGATCATTATGGTCTCTTGAGATTCTATTATAAGCAGTTTTTTAGTGCGTCAGTGAACGACGTTAGCTTTAATTTCGTAGGAATTTCCATAGAAATACCCAGGGCTGATGAAATATTAACGATATTTTTTATTTGGTATATCTTGTGGAAACCTTAGGGTTCTTTTTACTAGCTAGGAAATTTCAACCCCAATTTCTTGCGTCCTTTAATGTTACAGAAAGTTAAATATCGTTAATTAACCGAACAATGTTGTTGTAAGATAAAAGAAGTTAGCTTGGCGCGGCACAAAGGAGAAAATGGGACGAAATCTTTGCAGCGAGACGTAAAATTTAATTTTGAGTTGTTCTTCTTTTGTTTGTAGTTTGTAGAGGAAGTCTGAAGGATGATGATACGATGATTGTGTGGCAGATACAAAGAAGGGACACGTGAATACTCGGTACACAGAGAAGTATGAGAACGTATTTGAGCGAAGATTTCGTGGCGATTTGAGAAATTGGAAGTTAAATTATAATTTACGTGCCCGCGTGTTTTACCGCGGGCAGAAGTGGAATTTTTGGCCCTTATAAACCAGGTTTTATGATATAAGGAAATAAAGAGGGACTTGAGGGTTACGTTACGAAGTTCTGTGTTGTTGTGTTGTTAGCGAGAACACGGTTCGAAATCTTTCGTTTCATAAACTTACGCGTAGTTATTCGCGGCTGGAGTTCTGTGTGTAACTTTGGAACTTATTTTGAGAGATGTGTGGGATATTTGGTGTTTACCAACGTTTCGGCACACATTTCAGTTGCCGTTTTCAGGGTGGGTATGCGATGAGGCCAGTTCTGAAAAATGAGGCCTACAGAATTGGCCTCAACACATATCCACCTTGAGAATGGCAACTGCAATGTGTGCCGAAACGTTTGTTAACAGCCAAATATTCGAGTTAGACTCTTTCTCGAAATCAGAAGTTATTACAGGGGTTCATAAGTTTTGACGCTGCTTCTAGAAGGAATAAGAAATATTTCCCTGTGGGCTGATAAATTCGAAAGTTACGTCTCTAACTAAAAAGTTATAAATTTTAGTTTTTTGTGTGTGTTTTCCATTGGATTGAATTCCATTTTCATACCAAGCTGTTCAGAATGATTCTACAGGTTAAGAAAGACACTTTTGTAGATTTTCATTTGGTTTGAGGTTGATAATTTAATCACCTACGAAATGTATGCTGTTTATATGCATACTTCTAGTATTATTTACTGACAAAACTAGGATTGCCACCCGTGTTTCTCTGTTCACTGGACTTCAGCCCATTCCTACCTTACGCGTGACTTGACCGCGTCTGCATTTTGAACGCTCCAGTTCTTTTGAATTTGTGCAAAATAAAATATAAATGTCACCATCGCTCAGGGTCGTGTATTTAAATCAGGTTTATGTGTTCAAGACTTCGTCGTTTGTGTACGGGATAAGGATTTCTCGTCGCCTAGTTAAGTAATACCTTCGATTTATTCTGATGCAGAATCCTAGACTTAACTTTGGTGCGGATAGGAAGTTACATTTGAATTTCCAAAGAATTCTCTGAGAAGTAAGATTTAACGTTCTCACAGCGACGTTTATGTAGATATGACTCTTTCTGGGACGTTCATTTGTGTAATGCGGAGGATATTATCTGAAACGTCGGTCAGTATATACCAGACCATATGACGTGTTATCTTAATTCTCTGTACGCTCTTCGAATCGCCACTCGTAAATTGAGTGTTCATGATGAGAGTCAGTTGTGTTTTTCAAATCTTGTTGTTCGATTATGATATTCATTTTCAGATTCAAAGTGTTTACTGGAGAATCAGTAAATTTTTTCGTGTTTCTTACTGCAGATTCAACAAAAATAATGTGTTGTTTCTCATGTAACACTGTTCGAAATTTTCGACTTACTTATTATCAATGAAAAGTCTTAAAAAAATATAACAAAAAATCACTACAAAGTGGACTTTTCTAATTATTGACCTAAATACCAAAAGCGATAGATGGACTCCCAGAGAATTTTTTTATGGTTTGGAGCGTAATTATATTCCAGAAAATTACTTTGAGACTATTCTTGTTTCTCCCCCCCACCCCCCAATTTTTTTAAGTTATGTGCTTCAACATATTTATTTATTTATTTTATTTAGTGTTCTGTCTGCCGACAGGTCCATATGAACAGGATCCTTCCATCCTTTTTTCGGACTGGGACCTGTTCATATACGTTCTTGGCAGCTGATCCAGAAGTGGTTTGCCATTGCCTTCTTCTGTGTGTGAATGGAGTAATTGTTGGGATGCCACGGAGGAAAACTCCGTGTTGCCTAGACCACGGCCTTGCCCAACATAAGGGTATAATAAAGTAACAGCATGAGATACAACTCGGGGAAACACTGAAAGATCGAGAATAATCGATATGCCATTCGAGAATCGAACGAGTTACGTACTTGAATTGCGTAATCCAGGAACTCGGTCACACTGACCCAGACGTGCAGATTACTGAACCCGCAGTTAGGCTACGCGGGGATGTTAATGGCTCTGTAATTGCGTTTTGAATGCGCTGTAGTTTGCGGTGACGCTAAATCAGGGCGGCAAACAGACCACTGCCGCGGAGGAAAATAGATTATGGGAAATAAGGAAATTAGGAAAAGTATAATCCGAATTTCAAGAACATTCGCTTGAATTGTTAAACCTGGTTTCGTGCTTAATTGATATTCGTTGTCGTCCTTAGGAACTTGTACCAGTTTTGTATCTCATTCGGCGTCCGAAATTAATTTGTAATGAATTCCAGCCTCGAGAGCATGCTTCTGTGAGGTGATCTAATCCATTTCTGTGGCGTATGTGTAAACATTAAAGTAATGACGTTGGAAATGTTTATACGCCATCTTATTTCCATGTTAAAAGCAGAAATCACTTCAAACGAATAACAAGCCGTGTGTATTTATATGAAATTTCGGTCACGTGTTTAAATTATCGGGTATTTAAAAGTGTATACAGAACTTGTATTTATTATCGAACCCCGAAGGCGTATTACCGTGTTCACAAGAGCCCATTATCTGAGCCAGTACTCACCCAAATCCTGTTCATCCAAGATCCATCTACGCCCAGGTCGTCCGAATGTTCTCTTTCCGTTCAGATTTTTCGTCTAATTAGTTTGATCATCTTAATGTTTGGCGAAGTGTTCAAATCGCATACCATTTTGTCGAGAAATCTTTTTCAGCACTTCGCTTTACGTATGTGTTAGGCCCAAATATCAGTATCCTTTTCTCAAACGCCTTCAAACTGTGTTTTTTTCCCCCTTTAGAGTGGCGGACCTGGTTTTACACTCGTACAAAGAACAGGGAAAATTGAATTTAATCTGCCCTTAATTTCATCTTTTAATTTGTTTCCGTCGTCGCCAGATATTTTAAATTTGAACTTTGCTGCTGATGGTGATGTCTTGTAGTCTTGTGTCGAGACACGGACCCCCTACTTAGTGTCGTCTGTGATTGGTTCCTTCTGTATCCGCTTCCGTACCAGTGTCTAATAGGCCAAGGCTTTTGTTTGTTTTTATGATAGTTATGTTTTTGCCCAAATAAAGTTATATTATCAGCATATACCAGAAGCTGATGTGCCCCATTCAATTCCAGTCCCTCGTATTCTGGCGTATTCTAAAGCAAAGTCGTCTTTCGGGGAAAATAAAAGGTTCAATTTACTATATCAGATAATGCGCGCACAAAAGGAGGCCTATAATGTGATCGTATTTTGTCTTGTAAAATGTTACGTCGAACAAAGGAAAAGAATGTTCGAAGATGAAATGATCTGGCCTCTTCCATAAAACGTGGGATGATTTGCAGAATTTGCAACAGCGCTGTTAGAAAATATGTGCTCACATTGAACAGTAATTCGCCAGAGTGTGTCGTGAGAAAATAAGAAAAGTGTCGGATTTTTAACAGCTGTGAAGTTCCTTCAGAACGTTTTAGCGGAAAGCGTCTTCTCACCGTGAGTCAGACGAAAAGTTGCGCAGGTTTGCCAATTCTCTGCAGTTAACGTATCATCTTCTTTTTTCTTTGCCAATTCTCTGCAGTTAACGTATCTTTTTTTCTTTCGGTTAAGCGTCTGTTTTGTCGTACGTTGTTACGTCACGTGACAAACGTTTAATGCATAATATGATTTGTGTGGTACCACGGGCGGGAGACGAAGCTATGAGTCAATAAACATACCGTGATACCCATGTTTTTCAAATGCGTATTGGAGTTACGCCGTGTTAACTCGTTTTACTGTCTGTCTATGGACTGGACGGCCAGTGGCAAGTGGTTTCTATTCCATCGTCTGCATTTAGAACGGCTCTGAGACCACCCAGACCTCTGTTCCTTCCCGAGGCCGTGAAGCTGACCAGTCACACCATCTAGTGCTGATACTAAGAACGAGCAGGAGCTCTGTGCCCTCCCCTCCCCCCGCGCGCCATTATGTTTGTTAATCGGAATTAGATACCTGTAAGATTCGAGCGTCTCCTTTGCAGTATCGGGTAAGGGTTCGTGGGAGATGTATGTTCAATTAAGTACTAACCTTCAACCTCAACTAAATTGGGGTGGGGGGTGGGGAAATGCCCCATCATCGTAACAACAGTAGTCGTTTAAAACTGACACAAATCGATAGTTATTACTTTCCACCACCAGAAAACTTACTTGTAGATTGGAATCGATAGTAATCGATAATTCTCTAGAAATTGTCGATGTCGCAGCAGTAGTAATCGTTTAATTACTGGTTACGATCTGCAAGTACGTATCGATTTTGATAATTTTTGAGAAATCGATAATCGACTGCCTGGAATTGTGCCGCGTCTAAACATGCCATTCGAAGTGATTGAAATATTTGTTTGAATATTTAACATATTTCCAGTGTCTGATCATAGTTAACTGAATTTGCATCTGAATTAATGTAGCGCTTCAAGTTATTGAACTCCGAATGTTTTAATTATCGAGGTACGAGTTTGACTCGCATAAATAATTATATGGCGTATTTCTTAGTATTTCTGCTTGCTGTAGTTTAGCCACCGTAAGTTGGATATGACCTTCAACCTTTTGCGCACGCAGCTACAATGCCTGACTTTAGAGCACAATGCAATTTAAATTTTTGTGCACTCAAGATCATGTGTTTTCTTGAACATTGTTACATCTCAGTCACTTTTATCTTACATTACAGATATGAATTATTTATTTATTTTTTATCAGCCTGATGGGCATTGTTAAAGGAAGAAAACAGGTTGTGATTGTTTGTGAGGAGGAGAATATTTGGACCAAAGAGTGATGAAGTGACAGGTCGTGGCGAGAACTGCTTTATAATTTATAGGTTATGGGATGACGATAACCTTTTGGTTCTATAAAAGGCAGTACATTTTTTTTTCACTGTCTCAGCAGCTAGTGGTTTTTCAGGAAAGACTGTGTTCTGTGTAGTTAGTTATTTAACACGTCTCGGCAATAAATGTGCATTTCACCCTATTTTCGTCAGTTTTTCAATGGTTATCAATATGTCCGTGCACTCTAAAAAAAAACCTGTTCTTTATTGTCATGTTGTGTCCCTGTCTTTCATTTGTTATTTAATCAACAGTAGCATGCTGGCGATGATAATTACAGTTGAATGTTTAATTCAAACCAAATTGTGCTCACTGTGTTCTCTTTTGGTATATACAAGTTTTTTTTTTTTTTTGTATTATGCCAACGACAAAGCTATCGTGGGGAGAAAAAAATGTGTAATTAGCAAAGCTTCAAAGTTACCCATTTGTACGAATTTGCGTGTGTGTGTATAATTTTTTTTTTTATTTATTTTGATCATAAGAGTGGACCTTCAATTTTGGCATTTGTTTTCAAACAATTGGTCATTCTCATATTTCGAAGTTTTACACTCGTGTTGATTTCTGTTTGGTAATTACTGATAATACGTTTTGCTGTACATAAACTTTGCTAGAACAGTCTGTGGAATCCGTTTACACGTTTGAAAACTCGTATGATTCGGTGGCGGGGGGAGATTTGTTATTGTGTAATGCATTTTAACTGTAAATGACTTTGTGAAAAAAAATTTTTTACTGCCTTTAAGACATTTTATTTGTGCTTGTGATATAATTTAATTTAATATTTTGTATTTATACAGATTGACTTTTTATGTGTTTATTTTTCAGCTATGATGAAAGCTGCTGATATTAGAGAGAGGGCTTATATACTTTTGTATATTACTTTATCAAATAGGTTACGAATAATCACTGTTAATTTATATAAAAATAAAGTACCCTTTTTTTGTATATGACACCATTGTAACCAGTTAAATATATTCAGCTAATTGGCAATACTGCTTTGTGTTCAGATATATCGTGTTTTGTATCTCCGTGCATTTAAATGTATAATTCCACTTGAATAGGCATTTATTTGACATGGTTCTAACACGTAAAACGATTGTAAAGGAACGTAACAGAACGTAAGGAATGAACCAGTGGTAGACTTACATATTTCACGCCTTAAGTCTGTAATCGTCACCTGTCAATCAAAGGGAAACAGAATACAGGACAAAATATTTGTATGGAAAACTGCTTAGATTATAATCATTTGCTTTGAGAAGCGCGTGTCCTACTGTTCTGTCCCGACGTACTGATATCATACACAGTCAAATCGAATTTCTGTTAAAATACAGCAGAATTCGTTATATATAAGTTTTTACGGCACCTTTCAGTTTGTTTTGAGCTTCGCGTAAGTGCCGATGTATGACATGTACTGAAACATTTTCATTTTATTTCTACACTGTGTAAATGTTTAAGTAAATGTTGTTTTCTGTATGGAAGGTGCGCGCTAGTTTTGAGTGAGCTGGAATAGATTTGCAGTTTCCCATTCAGAATTCTCATCAGATCAGCCACTGTGATCTCATCTCTGTCGTCAAATGGTATAGCCTAAAGGAACTAATATGTTTGCTTAATGTCTGTTTCAGTCGCTGGACGGACAGAACATTTACAATTCGTGTTGCACGCTGCGCATCGAGTACTCAAAGTTGACCAGCCTGAACGTGAAATACAACAACGACAAGAGCCGCGACTACACAAATCCAAATCTGCCCACGGGTGACCCTGGCCTAGATGCCACCCTGGCAGGGCTGGGGGCCGGTGAGTTGATCCCGCAGCTGTTGATAGCTGGGGGCGGCGGGGGGCGACACAGAGGTCTCGCACAGGAAGCAGGTCCTGCACCCGGAAGATTAGCTCCACCAGGTAGCGTAGTTAGCAAACAGTTGACGTCAATTTTTTTGAGAGGCTGGAGCCTGTTCCTGTTGGTAACTTGACTGACGTGACGTGACATGACTGACTTGCATGAACGAATCTTGGTGTGACAAAAATGTCTTTCGCTGTGCTTAGAGCGACGAAGGTGACGTCGGCGTTCTTTGTCGTGGTAGTACTGAATTAGCTTGTTGTGCAAGGTTTTGCTTTCTTGCATTTGTTATATTACATTTTTATCAGTTTCTGAATACCAGTTGTTTCATACAATCTCTTTCACCCTGCAGCATGTATTTGTATTCCAGTTACCATATCCTTTAGATTATTTCAAGGGTTTGTCTCGTCTATCTAATGACTCGCCACGTCTTAAAAATATGCTACGTTTCTTATGCTGTTTACAGATTGTTTTCCCTTCCTTCTTGTTTTTGGCATGTTCACGGCAAAAAGTTTCAAAAATACTTTTAGCTTCATCCTGTCTGTCTGTGTGTTTATCCGTCTGTCCATACACAACAACTTAGGAATTGCGGATCCAATTTTCATGAAGTTTGATATTAGAGGGTTTTAATAAATTTGTCAACACATTTACGTGAAAATTGGATAGCAACGGACGCTTTGTAAGAAGAGTCACATACATTATATATGTCGTGCGTCTTGAGTGTAATTTCCTAAATACGCATCAGAGCAAAAAATGTTTTGGGCGCAGCGGTTAAAAACGAAGCACGCTCATGCTTGATGCATTTCTGAAAACTTTAGCAGTTTCTTTAAACAAAAGGAAAATTTATGCTGCATCTTCACATTTAGTTCACAATTCATTTTACAGCGCTTTCAGTATCTTGGACTATACGGTATTGAATGAGAGGATGATAGTGAATAATGAATTGGAAAGGATGAGGAAGGAATCGGGTCTTCTATTAGCAAGGAAAGCCGTGAAATTTCAGTCGGGGTAGCCAATCTCCAGGCTGAGATTTAAACGCAGGACCTGAATATGGGTCAGGAGCGATAACTAATCAAATGAAATTCAGTGCTGTAACTTGTAATAGCCTTAGATTCATCAGACTTTTTCCTCCCCCCTTCGTATTGGTGGTCCTTGCTTGTCTGTCCTGCCTGTTTTATACGATTTATAAGAGACTATCAGAAGTTAAGATTCACAAATTTAACTGTGCGGACTATATAGAGATACGTGCCAGGAGTATTATGTTACGTGAATTTATTCCTAACTCGTTAAAGAACAGTATAACTCAGTGTGAAGTGCAGCCTTAAAGAAACAACACCTCTGTGAGCGCATTTGCAAGATATTAATTTCTTAAGCTGCGAAGAGTCGTTAGTTTCGTTCTGTCTGTCGGCGGTCGAAGAAATGCAATGAATATGTGTGAAAAGGTTTTTATCATTGAATATTCGATCAGTTTGTATGGAAAGGGCTGCAGTAGGAGATACCACAGTGCATATTTCCATGCCACGTCATTTCAATTGGAATTGAATTTCAATATTCTTGACACTCCAGATGTGGAGTGAATTTAATCTTGGTCCGATATATCCCCTATTTTACATAAAGCTCAAATCAGACTTAATAATTTCCTGAAAGTAAATTGCGCTTCGTGAAGAGGAGTGGAACTAGATGTGAAATGTAAATCTACAACGTTTACTTTAAGCATGTTCTGAATTAGGAAGTTTCTAGAAATATAAGATGTAAAATAATTCATGCTTGTTTAGCGTGATGTATGTAGCATATTTACGAGGGGCAGTCGAAGAGTTCCCGGAATTGTGGTATAGCACGGTAATGGTAGGACATATGGCAACGCTTACCTAATCACCTTCAAAGTAGGACCCTTGCGCACACACACACACTTGCTCCATCGATCCTGCACCGGCGGAAGGCTTCGTTTGGAATCTTCCGGAGTTCGATTTGATGTCCTCGACGGTTGCGAAACGCGTCCCCTTGAGGCCCATTTTCAGAGTAGGGAACAGCCAGAAGTCACTCGGAGTGAGATCCGGAGAGTATGCTGGTTGGGTGATGACGAGAATGCTTTTCTCGGCGAGGAATTGCTGCACAACCAGCGAGGTGTCGAATGCGACGGCCGAACTCCGGAAGATTCCAGACGAAGCCTTCCGCCGGCCATAGTATCTTTTTATATGCCTGTTTTCTCTGTTTTAATGTATATAGAACAATTAAAATACGTAATTTCTGCGCTGTAGATTTCTCCCTTGCCTGAAGTGGCCTTTATTTAGAAATACAGAAATATTTAGGTCCTGGGTTTCACTGTAATCTTCGACACTGATATTAATTGTATATCGTACAGTATTCTATATATAATTTCACTCTGTTGTTGATTCAGCAAAAAAAAATGGCAAAATAATCTTAAATTACATTAGTTTTCCATAATGGGACATTGTTACCGAACTGGAAAATGGGGGAAGTTGTTAATTAAATTAATTGTAAAATGTGAATAGACTTGCCTTTAATGCGCAGCTTCATTAAGATCTTTGATAATTTAATTGAAAACAACCAGACACTGTTTCTATTCAATTTCTGTCACAAAGAATTAGCAACATAACACCGCGTCTAAATTTAAATTTTGAAATGTTAAAAGAAAGATTCATTAAGATAAATTAAACTGACATAAAGATTTTGTGTGAGCATTGTATTTCGAAGTTCCTTTTTCTTAGAATCGCTAGATGAAATGTCTTTATACTTAACAAAATATTGACTGCGTACATATTCAGTGTTAAATTTCTTTGTGAAATCGCAGATATTTTGTTTTCTTCAAGTGCTTTTATCTGCTGCTTTGCAGGACAGTTTGGAGTACAGTAACTTTAAATTTTATAAAACGTATTTTTAATTATATTATTCTGTTAATTTATTTTATCGACACTGCGGACAAGTCCTTTGAATACAATATTGGTGGCATGAATATTTGAATAATGCCTGCCTGGGTGATTGGTTCATTTCCTTCTGACGCTGCTTTTCATGATGACGATGACAACAGATGATGAC